GCTGCATTTGTCCCTTTTTACACCTGAGCTATCTTCCTGCTTTGAGAGAGATCCACTTTCTTCACCCAATTCTAAAGAAAGAAGATTATGCAAATGTTATGTGTCCCATCAGTACCATCTTTCGTACTGCCATGACAGACTGCATTGAGCCCGACGCCTATAAAGGCGAGATTATGGAAGAGACTTTGTTTTGCTATATTCTTCTGGTGAGACAATCGCTAAGACAACCATCCTACTGATGCGAGTTGACCAAGTAGTCGCAACTTTTTCTTGTTGTCAAGGCGACTTAGTAGAACGCACCTAGTCCGAAGTTGTCATGATTCCCAGCATCGGACAGTCGACTTGGTACATTTTCAAACGTTTTGCCGGATTCCTGGTTGAGATTGTACCAAATCGACTGTCTGATGCTGGGAATCATGACAACTACTATGACAGACGACTTCGGACGAGGTGTGTTCTATTAAGTCGCCTTGACAACAACAATACCAAGTGGCGACAACGAGGTCAACCCACTTGTATAAATCGAAAGGAGACTGCGACCATACCAGAGGACACATCATCTTAGCCTTCATATCTCCGATCATCCTACTGATGTTCTTTCTCAATTTTGGTGGCAACGCGCCCTCGTTCAAGCCGGACTTCGGGTGTCGACGCGACGATTCCTCCTTCGGCCAGCCAATCAAAATTAACCTCGGACCAATGAGAATCGAGTGTGGCGACGATTGACACCTTTTCCTGCTTACAACTTCTCCCAAAAAAGTTGCTAAGCTGCGAGTGAATCCCGCAGCGAGCTACTCTTCATTATCATGTTCATTGCTAGCACAACAACAACCGATGCCAGTACGGCATTTCTTTCACGTAGCCGATACTACTTGCAGTCTTCTGGCTTTGACCTCAGAGCAAAGCCCTTGGTGGTTTTGGCTTTAAGGAGTCACTAGGTGGAGTGCACAGTCATTGTATTCTGCCGTGGCTCGGTAACTGCTTGCACGAGTGTACTTTTTTGGTCGTCACAGCGTACGAAATAGGCTCGACCAATTCCACGATTGACCTTTGTTATGGTTGGCGCAATGTGCCCAAGTGTGAATGAGTAAGCTTTCTGTGTCGGCCTGCTCTTGTCTGCGTGTTCAATCGCCCGCCACAAGCGGACAGGCTGCGCGATAACACATACTGAGAAGAAATGGATATCTCCAAGAGTCGCCGGGTCGCCTTCACAACTGGGGGGCACAAGCGTAACCTGCGCCATGTCCCCGCCATGTGTCGTCAGAGCGGCAGCAAGCATTATTTCCTCAAAAAGGACAGTCGTTTATGCAGTCTCCAGTGCGTCCAGTTAGGACAACGTGTCTGCACT